GATTATCAGCACCACCGTCGATTATAATCGCTTGAAACCAATCGATTATAATCAATTAATTGTTTACAACCGATTATAATCAGGCTTCAAAATGATGTGGAGGAAGGTAAAAAATAAAAAATAAAAAATAAAATAAACATTTGCTTTTCAAAAATTAATTATTTAAACTTTTTTAATTCTAAAATATATTTAAACCCAAATATAAATAAACAATATACTAGAACCCATTTTCCAAATAAACCTTTTTGTTCGAAGACTATTTATCTCGCGTCCTATACCCTAAAAAATTTTAAAGTTAAAATTATTTATAGGTTTATTTTTAACTACCTCTTATACTTTATAATAAGATACTTAAAATGCTAAAGAATAAAGTCCCCTGTAGTATAAAAATAATATTGCAACAAATAAGGTCGGGAAGCATTTTTTGACATAAATTATTCATGTGATCTGCATGACATCACGGATGACTGATACGTTTTACAATACTTCTTTTAAAAGCTCGGGTAGCTTAACTTTCTATGGAATGAGAGTAAATTTAAGGATGAATTAATGCTTTGCTTCGTCTTATAACATATTCTTTGAATCTTCGTTAATCCCACAACTTTTTTGGCAATCTGATGAATTCGAGATATGATTGGTTGACAATCACATGTAACTATATCGGAATCATCTACGTGTTTGAACGGTCGCTTCTGTTAACCCAAGTTTAAAAAAATCTTGACTAATTCCTAATATCGATTATTACCATGTTAGATCGCGATTTAAAAATTCAACTTATAGAATGATAAAAGTTAGAAGTTAAGAATGTATCGTTAGGATATGGATATGCTGTGTAATAATGATAAAAAGATTTGCATGCTATGTGATCATGCATGCATGTATGATGTTTCTACAATATCAACCAATTATCACGCTTATTTGAATAAAAATAACCGATTGATCAATCTTTTAAACCGTCTTTTTTTTCCTCACTCTCGATGGTATATAATGGAATTGAAAAAATCTGTTCTGATTGGCCTAGGTGTTCTTGGTGTAATCGGCATCGGTTATGTCATATATTGGGATTATATGAGACAAAACGACCGAGAATTTCGAAAGAAATGGAGTAAATAACTTTTCATAATGCTAGTCAAACGTGATTCCTGTGATTACGAGAAGGGCCTGTGATTTTTTTCATTTTTTATTTTAATGCAAAATCAACTAAGATTTTAATTTCAACTTTTACACTTAGAGCGTGAAAAAAAGAGAGCAGAAAAACTTCGACAAGCTGCAGCCGAGGTCGCCAAAGATCGAATAACTGCTTTCGTCAAAAAGGCCGTTGATGAAGTCTCTAAAGAAAACTTCCCTACTGATGTCGCTGCTAAAGAAAAATACTTTATGGACCAAGTGTCCAACGGTGAAACTTTACTTGCTGAAGGTAGATAGGAATTCAAAATATATTCGATGTAATTTTATATTGAATCAAGATGGATATTTATTTTTTGAATTGTTAGGTAAAGAACGTCATTTGGACGCCGCTCTTTGCTTCTATAAGGCTTTAAAGGTGTATCCTAATCCTGTTGAATTGATAATGATATATCAAAAAACTGTTCCTGAAGCAGTTGTTAACGTGATTTACGAAATGATGAGTTTTGAGGTACAAAACCCTAATCCAGATTAATAGAAATATAGTAACGCTAATTAATATACATAGGTACAGTGTATAAAAAAAATAATTAGATAAATAAATGAGATCAACTTTATTTAGGTAAAGAAAAAAAAAGCAGAGTATTTTGAAAATTTTCCACCGAAAGAGATGAATGTTAGAGTAGGAGAGATTAGCGAAAGTTCGTCTCTGGGTGATATTCGTCGCGGTCTTTTTGCTACAAAGGACTTTTGGCCCGGTGACGTCATCTTTGATGAACAACCTATTGCCTCAGCGCTTGATCCTGATCTTGAGGTATAGAAACGAAATTATCCCATGTTTTCACTATCCAAACATATGCTCCAATTAATTTATATATCGCTCGTTCCACGTGATGTTGTCCACAAAAAAAAAAAAAAAAAAAAACACAAAACCAAACCAAAAATGTTATATTACAGACTGGTGATTATTGTAGTTATTGTCTCAAAGAACTTTCCGGTGACCCAATCAGCGATGATACTGATCTATTTGAAGCAGTCTATTGTTCAAAAACATGTCATGAAAAAGCTATGAGTGAATATGCTACGCTTCTTTTCACTAATCGTGATAAAAGCGACACAGAAAGTAAGGAATCTCAACTTGTACATTTGGTAAAATCTGGAAATGTTAAATATCCGTTGATGATCGCCCGATTTTTGGCTAAAATGGTTCATGAGGAAACACAAAAAGTAATCACGGGTGAAGAAGAAGAATATAGTACTTGGGACCATATTGAACGATTACGGTTTTTAAATGTACCATCTAATGACAAAGAGACTAATGAGATTAAATTGTTAAGAGAATTATTTGCTGCAAAAGTTCCTGGGATGGAAGAATTCATATCTGAAGAAAGGTATTTAATGCTTAAAGGCAAGCTTATGTATAATTCATTTGGTATCAGTACCACGCGTGAAATAAGAAAAGAAAGAGAAGTATGTATCGATAATACTAAATTTCAACCCAATAATAAATGTATTTCATTCGAATTAAATCCATCGTTCTTAAAATTTATAGAATAGTAAAGAAATGGTTCGCACAAGCGAACCATTAGTGATTGGCGCCGGTTTTTATCGTGTCGCTTCCTATATGGTCCACTCATGTGATCCAAATACTATGATAAAATTTCTAAATCGAAATCATGTCATATCAATTGTTGCTACTAAGCAAATTAAGGCTGGTGAAGAATTAAGGACTAGTTACATTAGTGTTGGTCATAGAAATTTAGAGAGTCGACGTAATGAATTGGAATCAAAATGGAAGTTCCGCTGTACTTGTGCCAAATGTTTATCAGAAGAATCAACTACAGAACAATCATTTATAGAAGAAAAAAATAGTTTGAAAAATTGATTTGAATATTCCTACACCATTTTTCGTCTTATAATTATTTGGACCGAAAAAAACCCCCACTCTTCTATTATACCATTTTAGTTATGGGTGTTTATGTCATTATTCCATAGTTATTTCCAAATTTAATATAGAAACAGAGAATTAAAATTAAATAGTTTATGAAATACTAGAAAATATAGTAAGACAAAAATTTAGATTCGAGGCATTGGTTAAATAAACGTGGCCAATTTTTATAATTCATCGATTAGAAAGTTACTGATTAGCGTGTTTATATGATTTTATTTTTCCTTGTTCAACTTATACAAATAATATCTATGAGCCTAAAAAGAGATAATGAGCGATGAGAACAAAGCAATTGAAGAGATTTTGGGTTCTACATAGGCTCGGGACGTCAATTCTCTGAACGGTGATAGATGCAAAATATACAACTAGCTAATTAAATAGAAGGATGCATATGATATGATATCGAAGGTATTAAAACTAACATCACGATCTGAAAAAAACCCCAATAAAAAAGAACGATGTTTATACAGAGAAATGAATAAATTTACATGAAATAAGAAAAAAGCACCGAAAAATACCTAATTATTAATTTGTTTCTCCTTTATGCTAAAAATGCCAGTTCATCAACGGCGAATCTGTCAATCATTGATTTTTTGTCTTCATGAATGATCTTATTGCGACCAGACTTACTACTAGATTAAGTAAAATTAGGTGGAATCCCAAATAGTATTTGCTAGGTTACGCAAAATGTCTCCAGTTTTCTTTAATGTCAACATTATTTGGAGATACAGTATTCGTGAATATGTAAAAACATGAAACTTTTGACATTTAATTATATACAGCTAATCATAAATTTTTTCTTGG